GTTACAGAATACATTTTGGGGCATGTATTCTGTATTCTGTAATGGAATACATTTTAAAAGTAACCTTCCCAACACTGACCATGGCACACAAAAAGGCACTTGAGATGGTCATTAATATGGCCCAAAAAAATCACTGGACAGCCTCTGCCCTCCCTAAAGGACCTATGCAGCGCTTGCTGCGCTTGCAACATCCTACAGGACTGCACACACCCAGGACACCGGGTGTTTAAGTTGCTGCTGTCTGGATTCAGGCTGCTGAGGTCACAGACAAACAGACTCAAGGACAGCCTTTACAACAAGGCAATAGCCCTAACCAATGCTAACAGCTGACCTGATTAGCTACCTCCCTGGGCTTTTCTGGTAGGAAATAATGTGCAATAAACATTCATTCTTTAATATATTAGGCCATACCTATTTGCACTTTTTATCCAATCTAAAGTTTACTGTGCTCTGTTTTGTTGACGTGGGACAATTGTCCCATTTCGTTATACTACTGTACTAAGCATGAATGTGCAATGATAATAAAGAGTTATCTTATCTTATTGTGCAATCAAAGCGTCATTATAATCATACCCCCTTAACCTGAATGTAGGGAATAACCAAGCAAACATTTATGGGAAAGAATCGTCTGAATCCTGACGATGAATAAATAAACACTTTAATAACACAACTTGTTAAATGTATTACGTAGAAGAATAGAATAGAATAGAATAGAATAGAATAATCCTAAAAAACAAGGGGAAATTTGGTACATCTTAACAGTAGTTTTACTAATAATGTGTGGATTACATACATGGATTTAAATTCAGTGAAGTGCCTGCTGTAAACCACTTGAATTTTTTTTAACCCTTCTGCACCCCTCTGATAAATAGCTGCAGTAGGAGACCGTTAAGAGAGCGCAGAGTGTCATTACCATCACAGCAGATTCTTTTGTCACACATCCGGTGATCGTTCGAACAGCTCTCCAACCCCCATAGAAGGCCACCGACTCCACATGTAGACCATATTCCATGAATCATTGACAGGAAGTATTTACAGAACACTGTTATAAAACCAATCCTTTTCTTTGTACTCTCCCGAACTTCCCGACGTTCAAATTAGAGATGGCACGATACCACTTTTTTATGTCCGATACCGATATCCTAAATTTGGATATCTGCCGATACCGATATGAACCCGATATAGTGTAATTTTTAATATCTTGCTGCATTGTGTATAAGTTCATAGTCAAGTTTTAAAAAACAAACAAACACTAAAGCTATTCTGCTATACCTGTATTCAAAAAATACACTGCACCCAAAATGTTTCATAGTTAGCAACACTCATCAATCTCATAAACTTAAACCTGCACCATCCTCCCTATTCTGGTGTTTTAAAGAGTAGTTAGCAGGAATATTAAACAACCTAACTAATAGGGTTGCAAGCTCCCAGCAAAAAAAAAAATAGGGAACCACCCCTCACCCCATGATGCTTAATCGATGTAATCAACTTTACTTTAATGCATGTGTAAAAAAAAATGCACAGAAATAAATTATTTTTCTACAATAATTAAATAGATATAACATCTTTCTTCTACAGAACTGCAGACTGCACTGATTATATCTTCCCAAAAGTACTATGGCTTACTAGAGTGTATTAGACTTAACAGTTACTATATACAGTAATGGACTTCTATATATTTTACATCAGGTAAAAACTTTGGGTGTAAGATTCAGATAATTATTTATTAAAAGCTAGACATTTTAAATGAGAATAAGAAAGAAAAGTATGTCTTTGTGCCCCCTTTTCCCTGTTCATGCCCTATCGGCCCCCCTGGCTAAACTTTGCTAGATCCGCCCCTGCACAGTTACGTCAGCTGTAGAAAAAGATCCTGGAGTAGAATTTATTTAATATTACTTTCTAACAACAGCTGATCAAGCTTAAACGTGCTGCTGTTGTTCAGCCGCTGGTTTCCTCTTTCTGGTGCAAAGTGGGCCAAAAACAAACAAGAGAAAAGCCGATCAGCTGATCATTGATCAGTTTCATGATTGAAGCAGCAGCAAGAAGAGGCAGTCGCTCCATATATCGCTTGTTAAGCTTAACGCAGGAATGCTTTACAAACATTCAGAGATGGACTTACACACTTGCTTTACTTCTCTCTGGGAAACCTTTCTCAGAGATGAAATGCCGGGTTGGTAGCGAGGCTACAAATGCTATCCAGACCGCCAACAGGTCTTGCACGCCACAGCCGCTCTATCACGTGATGCATACTGCTCCGACGTGCTAACGTTCTGAGGTGAGTTACGGCGTGTTGCAAGTTTTGTGAGGTGCTTTTGTGATATTTAATGGATCGGATTACATTTTTTATTTTTCTCCGATATCCGATCCAGTAATTTAGGTCAGTATCGGACCGATACCGATACGTAATATCGGATCGGTCCATCTCTAGTTCAAATGAGGGATTTTTGTTTTTCTTATTTTAGTGCCTGTTGTTCAGCTGCCGTGCTTCATTTGCATATGGGGGGGTTGTAACTGTGTTGCCTCCTCAGCACATATGTCAGTCATATAAACAAACCCTACCTCATCTACTACGTACCTGCATTGCGAAAAGGCCTCTTGTCCTTCTTTGGTTTCAGCATCGTCTGGGATGAGCTGGTCTCCTCAGTAGTCTGCAGTGACACATATTAGAATAAAATCTTTATTGTCACTGTTACAAGAACAATAAAAGGCAGTTTGGCATCTCTCCATGTGTGTGAGGAACACAATAGCGTAAGTATTAACTAGGGGTGCACCGATACACAAAATTCACAGTTCGGTTCGATACTTTGGTGTCACGGTTTGATATTTTTTCGATACAAAAAAAATGTCATGCCTTTTTAATTTGTCATTTATTAAAATTATAAATATATATTTTAACTCAAAAGTACAGTTTTTAAATTTAATGTTGCTGAAACAACAAAGTAATAAAAAAATAAATCTGATGGAGAAATCGCTCATCTTTGGAAAAGAGTCCATTACAGAGAAATGGCTCTTTCCAAAATAAAAGCTCTACTATACGCTTCTTCTGGGCTATATTCTCAGCAGCATATTAAACATATCAGGTTTTCACATGAAAACCAAAATAGTTCTAAACGCCAGATCTGAATGAGGATGGGGGAGGTTCAATTTCGGCTAGCGTTGAGGCAGTTGCCATGTTGCAAGGAGCTTAACTTCTGTTCCTGTCACTACCCGATCCAGACCGTAACGATAGTTACGGGTCAGAGTATCTGTTGAGATGTTAAGAATAACAAGTATCTCTTAAAATGTTTCCAATAATGAAACATTGTAATACAATGTAGACAAAAACGATAAATAAAAAGATAGTGACAGATCAGGACTCCTCGATCCTTACTGCGCATGTGCAAAGTCGGACCGTACAAATCGGGTCTACCCGATCTGTACCGCGCATGTGCAGGGTTTTCTTCTTCTTCTGTTCGTTTAATGGCAGTTTACTCCCCAGTGTACGAGGATACTGCCACCTGCTGACCGAGCGGTCTAACCCTATTGTAAACTGAATTAGCGTCATTACAAACATGTGTTAAATCTGATTTAGTGATAGTCGAGTGTGTTTATGCTCGTCTGTGTGGAGAGGATTGTTGGAATAGTGATGATGATGATGTCTGCTGTCACTGTCAGTTGTCAGTAAACACTTCATTTGGCTGCTGAATTGTCACGTGACATGTTACAAAGTCTGCATTATTAACTCTGTAATTAGGCGCCATTCTTCTTATTTTACGGCGCTGTTGTTCAATCGGGGGACGCTCTCTGTTGAGGAGAAAAGCATGAATTTCTTTGTATACGGATTATCCATTGTTTAAATGTCCCGGGCAGTCGAAAAGGAGGCAGAGCTGTTGAGAAATGCTAGGAGCTAACTAGGCGCTAACCGCATCATTCAAATAGATTGAATGTCGCAATGTTGGCAAAGAGAGGAAGTGACGTAAGATTTGCGCATGCGGGTACCGATCGGGTTTCAGGTACGGATCGGGTAGTGACAGTCCCGCTAGCTTGCGCTGCACTCAGTGGATCTGCGCTCGACAGTGCAGCCTTGGCGAAGTAGTCGAGCGCAGATCCACTGAGCGCTCAACACAGACAGCATCGTCAGAAGAAAAGTTGATAAAATAAATTACAAATGTTGTATTGTTCGATACATATGCGTACCAAACCGAAAGCACTGTATGAACGGTTCAATATCGATACGAGTGTCGTTGCACCCCTAGTATTTACACAATAACAGACACATTTACATTTACACTAGAACGATATGTACAAGTTACACATACACCTGCACCTGCAGTTGTGCATGTAGCTAAACAGGAAAAACCTTCTAAAATCATGAGTTCGAGGAAACTGTAAGTGTAGCTTACATTACGAGGTGAAATACTAGGGAATCGATCTGGAACAAGAAGTAGAAGCCAGAGATGACACCTGGCTATACCCCTTCAACAAACTAATTACATTGTGATGTATGGCTGCGTGGAAACTGCGGGAAATCAGATCGCTTCTTTATTTCAATGTGAGGCCACGTCAACAGCTACATGAGTAAATATACTTTAACTTCACAAGCTTTACTGAAATTGTCTAAATAACTTGTTAAATGAACGAGTATCATAACAGCCGTACTTGAGGACACAGAGCAGCACAAATACAAATGTTTCAGATGAAAAATTACCTGAGAGAGTTTTGGAGCTCCTTTATAACTCTTTCCCTGCTGCATACTCTCCCACATCTCTATTTTCTGCCTCCTCTTCTCCTCTTCTTGCTGTCCACAAATTAAATAAAAACAGTGTGTTGACATCTGATATTGACAGAAAATCATTATTCTTTGATTTATTTTTTACAAACTCTACCAATTTCTGTTTCTCTCTAAAGATGGACGCTTTGGCATCAAGCTCTTCTTGCATCTTCATCCTGGCTGCTGCCATAGCCTCTTCTCTCCTTTCCACCAGTGTTGGATCTTTATGTAACAAACAGAAATCGAAAGTTAAATCAGGACGATGCAATAACATATCTAATAACATATCTTCAAGAGAAATACAGGTTACCAAGGGCAGATTTTTCTATATACCTACAGATCAGACACTTCGTAAAGACAGATGTAGTACCTGAAAAATCAGACTTGTGTCTAAGGACTTCCAAGTCAAATAATATTGCGTGACGTTCTAGCTATAGTACATATAGTACATATAGTACATATAGTACATATAGTACATATAGTACATATAGTACATATAGTACATATAGTACATATAGTACATTACAAGGACAGAGACAAACAAACATGGAAAGAGAACTGAGAACAGAAAAATTCAGAAATATGTGGAAAAGGTTTTTAAACGTCATGTGTCCCAAATTTGTTTTCAAAGACTTACAAAATGCATATAATACCAGATCCCCTTTAATTACATAGAGAACACAGCATCAACTCCTTCCCTACAGCCACCTGTGTGCAAACAAAATGTGCACCTCATCCCCCCTTCTTCTCCCACATGTTTGCACTGAGTTGGAGATGCTCTGGATCTCATTGTACATCTGTATAGTGACAACAAGTGCATTCTATTCTATTCCTCTCTAAGAAAAAGCTGTTGTAACCCTTGAAGCCTGGATAACAACAGTGACCGATACCCACAACCTAAACGGGATTCGATGCATCAAAAAGAGAACGGACTGGAGAACTTTGAATGGGCCTGTGATCCATTACTGTTGTAAATGATTTAACTGATTAAGGACAAGACATTCTAACACACCTGAGCAAGTGTGACAATGTAATTGCCCCCTAACCTAATTAATGGTTGTGCAACTCTTGCCAGCAAGAACCCCAGTGGATCGTTTTCAGTAACAGCAATGCATATTTGACATCGCCTGGGGGGGATTTTTTTCTTTTTTCTTTTAAATTAGCTACACTGAAGAGTTTGAGGATGAATAGTCTGTTTAAGGTCATGTTGAAACATTTTAATCTGACTTTGATCAGGCCACTTCAAAAACACATTTGTTTCCTAAATTAATCATTTAGAGGTGGTCTTGTGAGCGCGTTTCAGGTCATTGCCAATAACCCAAGTGTGCTCAAGGGTACAAACTAACTGCTGGAAGTTTTTCTGCAGGATTTTCTGGTACAGAATAGAATCCACAGTTTAATCAGCTATGATGTTCAGGTTCGTCTGTTCCACTCTGCATGTCAAATATCCTTGACCAAGATCCAACGTCAAGTTGTTCTCAGGGAAGCTGCATAAAGCACTTTGAGTGCTCAGTTAGAGTAGAAAGCACTATATAAGAACCAGTCCACATCATGTCATCAGCACAGGAAGTCACTGCAGGGTTCTACTGAACGATAGGCATTACCGCCACATACACACTCTTATAGGAAGAGAAGAAGTCAAAATAGGAAGCGAAGTCTTTGAGGAGTGCTTTTTGCAAAGAGTTTTCCACAAAGCCTCGTGGTTTAAAAAGTCTTTCTACATCTCTAAATGTATACATTTGTATATCCCCAAGTTTCTGTAGTGGAATTTAATTAAAATGGCAGTAAAACCATTACAGTCAGGGAAAAAATATTTGAAGCCTAATTCATTTTGTAAGTTTGCCCACTAACGAAGGATCTGCCTATAATTTCACTGGTAAGGTTATTTAGACCGAGAGATTCAGGACAATCACAAAAAACTCGGAAAAAATTCGCACTCAATGGATGTGGCGCAACACACCGGGTTACAAAAATCGCTGAAGCGCCACACAGTGTGACGTTAAACTCAGAGCACGAACCAGTTAAAGGTGGTCAGCACCACACCTCCCTTGTGGGAAGAAAACAAATTTCCACCGCTTGGATCCGAGATCTCGTTCTTTTGATGACGACCCAGAGTTTGTGACCATACATGAGGACAAGAATGTAAATGATCCAGCTGGAGGTAACAACTTGTTCCTTTCATCACTTTATCTGGCTGAAGACTCAAACGTAGAGGTGCTACGTCACACTCAGCTGTTAATTGCCACAGAGCGTCCTACACCCACGAGGAACAAGCCTGACTTGTTGCTGAAAACGTTGAACAAGCTCTCACTGTCCTGCTGCAGCATAACATTGGATACTGGAAGCTGCACTTCGTGCTGATATAATTCTTATCTTTGTAATACTGTGGTTTATGGAAGCCCGTTTCCGCCACTAAAAAAAAAAAAAGGATCCATAACTCAAAATTTCGAGTTATTTTCTCGAAATTTCGACATATTACAGATTACTCACAGATTGCTGAGTGTTTTCAGCCTGGCTTCACAAATGATGAAATCCCTGTGTTATTAGCTGAATCACGTGGTGTTACTATCAGCAAACATACTTTAATTTGTTGGGATCCGTTTTTGAGTGCGCGGTCCTGCGCCATATGCTTCCGGGTAACAAGAAAGCGACCTCATTCACGTATATTTTTGATTGGCAGAGCTAACTCGAAATTTTGAGTTATGGATACTAGCTTTTTTTTTTTAGTGGCGGAAACGGGCTTCCATAGTGGTTGCTGCACGAATATAAAGTGAGTTGTGCTGACCTTGTGAGGCTTGTGGCGTTGGGCTGCGCTGGCTTGATCTCCTCTTGTTCAAGTGCAGAATGAGCAGGTAGAACATCACAGCTCCAAACACCAGGTACCAGCCATAATGGGCCACGAACTCCTCAACTACAGCAATTCAGTTACAACAGAAATAAACAATAATCTAAGTAGCTGTGACATTTTAACAACGAAACGATGGAAACAACATTTTTTCAATAAATACAATCTTAAAAGAATAAAATACTAAATGTTTGCGGGTTTATGTACAGCTCAACATGTCGCCTTCATCCCACCTTAACATGAGCTACAGACAGATACGTCTTACGAACGTTAGTAACTGTATTCCTATATTCTTTATCATTTAAGCTGGTTAATCAAACGTACACGCTTACCAGTCAGGCTCAGGGAACTCAAGTCTTGGTTTTTTAAGGGTGGCTTCTTCACATGGAAAGTGGAATCATCGTCTTCGATCGTTACATCATCCATTCCACACTCAGACGAGCTGACCGTCTCAGACAGCGTCGCGTACAGGCTTCTGTTAGCTCGTAACTGCTTTCTTTTCCAAAGAGCTTCTTTAAAACTTGCTACACAAAATGTAGATGGTTATTTACGATGACGTGTTGGCGGAAGCCAGATGAATCATTCGAGCACGCGACCGTGTCGCGCAAAAGAGGTCACTTCCTCTTCATACCTTTCATAATAAAAGTTAGAGACACAGATCATCAAACAAATTTAAATATTGGAAAAAGATAACACAAGTAAACACAAAGTGCAGTTTCTAAATGATTAAGGTTACCAACGAGCTCAGAACAACACCAAAGAACATGATCGTCATCAGGAGGGGACAATGCAAAGCAAAAGAAGTCCCTGTTTTACCTCATGGGGTTCAGTGTTGCTGTTGATGGGTTGTTGCTGATGGTGCTGGGGGGCTGAGACTGTAGACGTTAAAATCTCCAAAGGAGAGCTGGTAGCTGATTAAACAAGTGTTATGGGATAATAATAAAATGCAAAGATCTGTGACAGCGCTTGGATCCACGAGGCAACAGATTTTAAAAAAAGTGGGAAATAAACGAGGCTCTGCCTGTGACTCGCTCTTTGCCTCTCTTCCTCCTTCACTCTCCTCATCTCATCTAGCACTGTCCGTTTGCTGTCCGTCTGAGAACAAAGCACAATTTGTTATTGCATTAATCTGTTATTTTATTATCCACACTTAACAACTCTGCACCATTAATCCATAATAAAGTAATGATAGAAAAGTGTTATAGAACCAAAACATTGTAGTTGTGTTTATTGTTGTTTTTCTACTTGAACACTCCTGCAATGCAACAACTGGTACGTGTGTTATTGTTACCTGTGCTCTTTGTGATCCAGCTGGTGAGAGATCCACTGTAGCTCATGTATTCACTGTTTCCTCCTCCTGTCCTTACAGGGCCGGTCTGGACAGTGTTATATCATGCGTGATCATTTTAAAATATCTATACACATAAAACACGCACACCCACATGCATGTACAGTGACATATTATACCTTCTCCAGAATACTTTACATACTACAGCAACAGGTTTCGATCATGGTGCTGATCCGGAATCATTTCCTTGTTATTTATCTCCAGTGCTATAACAATAAAGTAATAAATATAAAATAATGTATTTATAATGATTCGGTTTCTGCCTTATTAAATGCTTAAACTTTAAAGATAATAATTTTGCTGCTATAAAATCAGCACTTGTCATATTTGAAATATGAATCTTATATAATCTGTTTCTTGATGTATTTTCTTTAAAATAGATTAAATATCTTCTGCTTGTTGCTTTTCCTTAGTAGTAGTTTCTTGGCAGCTACCTGATTCACACAGTCTCCTCTTAACAGTTGATGTAGAGATGTGTCTGCTACTGGAACTCTGTGTGGCATTTATCTGGGGTGCTGTTTTGTGATTTCTGAGGCTGGTGACTTGGATGAATTTATCCTCAGCAGCAGAGGTGACTCTTGGTCTTCCTCTTCAGGGGCGGTCCTCATGTGAGCCAGTTTTGTTGTAGCGCTTGGTGGTTGTTACGACTGCAGCCTTTTAACAGGAAGAAAAACCCAGACGATAAGGCTTTTCCTTACCACTTTTGGCAAACATGTGATCATTGGGGGGCGTCTGATTTTTGTTATTTTCTCTCTATTATTGCAGGGTCTTTACCTTATAATATAAAGTGCGACTTGCACTATAGAAATAAAATTGAATTGAAATGACATGTATATGGGAGGTGTACTTTTGCAGAATTAAAAGTAAACATGGTGATATTTTGTGCTCAGTATTTTTTTTATCTCAATTGAAAACACAAACAAGAAAAATCTTGAAAATAAATCTTCTTAATTTTTTTAAACTGTTAATAACAAAGGATTTTTGTCATTTACTTTCAGAATGTTCAGTTTGGCATTTTTGATAAATAGGGAAACCATTGTTTCTTAAGAGGGTGGTGTGTGTCAAAAAAAGAGTCTTTCATGACGACTTTCATGAGGTTTTCCCAGCAGAACGTTGCAGTTCACAGAGACCGTCAATTTAATACACGTCAGAAGCGCTTTTTATTGTCACTTATTGACGTGGCCTAAAAAGAAACATGCTGTAAAATCTTCCACAATGAAGACAAGGCACAGTTTTCGACGTGGTGACGAACGCCACCACAAGCACTTGGGGGCGCTAGAGTTCAGAGAACAAGCATGCTGCATTTAAGGACGTTAGACTTTCAAAACTTTATTGTGACTCGTTCTTTTATCGGCCACAGGTCTTAATAAATGGCGGCGTAATAAAATGACATACTGATACAAATTTTTGTCTTGGAAAAACGATTTTATGTTAATAGGCTTTTACACGTCACACTCAGCATTATCAGCATGTGTGTACACAATCAAGCAATGTGACTTTTGTTAGAACAGTTTCACGCAATAGCTCGTGCATTAGTGACACTTATACTCACTAACTATATAACTACCACTGCTTTAATGTAAAGTGTTATTAACTATGGCAGAAAGAAGCTACGCTTTGGCTACATTTACACAGCAGATGTGTGAGTATGGTTTCACACGCAGCTTAAAGGCAGCACCGTCGGGCCCACGGGGGTGGAGGCGATTAGAAGATTTCTACGGAGCTGCCGTTGGGTCAAACCACTGTTAAACCCTTCGCGATCATTCTTCTCGACAGACATTCTTGCCATGTCTAGATAATGGTGAGAGTCGGACCACTACTGAACGCTAAGTGATAAAAAGCTACTGCGCGTTTCGATCGCTGTGAAATTCGTCCATGATCGACAGCGGGGGACGGCTTGATCGCCCGAAGGACCAACGACAGAGAATTGTTCAAGTGACGGCTTCAGTAAGACTGTTGCGATGCTACGTAGGCATCTGGAAGAAAAGGGCTTTTCTACCATGAGAGATTGCGCGTGAGCCCGGTTTTCTGGCGGAAAACGAGCTCTATCGACCCAGTCTTCAGTGTTTGTATCGAGACGATCGAGTCTTGCTTATCGCTTTTACCGACAGAGCTAATGAAGTTTGGGGGAATGGCAGGTCGAAGTCGAAGAGCCTGGTTTAGTGTTCTGTTGGGACTGGTTGTTGGGTTCACACTGGCTTCCAGGCTGATTTTACCCAAGGCGAGTGAGTTGAAGAAAGCTGGCCAGAAAAGAAAAGCCAACTCTGCCGGGTGTGGGCTCAACGGGGGTCTCGGGAAAGAATACGGGGGAGTCTTGTGGCCTGAAGTTAACGGTTCACCGCCGACTGAGAAATCTGCTTCCAGATCGAACAATTTCCTATTTGTTGGCGTCATGACTGCCCAGAAGTACCTGAACAACCGTGCCGTGGCAGCACACAGGTATGTGACGCCACTAACAGAACAATGCCCGAACCTATCAATTTAATATAAAAGAGCTAAACTTGGAAACGCACGGGCCTCTTGTACAGTAGCCTCCTCAGTTAATCGGCTATACGTATTATAACGTGAAACATAATGATATTTATATGTTAGCACACAAATGTGCCACATTATGTGACACGTATAGCCATGTTCTGTCCGCTACCAGCTCGTATGGAGAGTAAAACTGCTTTAACTTCGACTGGTCGTGGCTGAGGAGGTAGACGAGATGGTCAGCTGTAGATAATCAAACTGGATCACGACGAAGTTCATCACAATTTCTTCTTCTCGTTTTTTTTTTAACATATTAGCAAACAGTTGACCCTTTTAAGCAGACATACCTGATGGCAAACAGACAGGAAAAACCTTTAACTTTTAAAAATATATTTCTAACAAAAACATCAAAAATCAGTCTCTGTTATAGGCTTGCTGAAAAGTGTGACCAGTTTTCTGAGCGCTTTGCTTGCATGTAGTGCCCACTTCAAATTTCAATTGGATTCAAGTCTGGACATGAACAAGGTAATACCATAAACCCAGTTTTTGCTTTTTCGCTTTTCAAGCCATATTTTGCTTAATTTACTGCTGTGCTTAGGACGGTGATTCCTTTTTAAAGTTGTAAGTCCAGTTCAATTAAATCCAATTAAATTGACAAAGTCCCAATTCACAACAACCTCAAGTCATTTCGTATCAAAAGGTATAGACCCTACAATTTAGAAGAAAGAGAAAACTGAGTAAAACCCAACAGCCAGATAATCTTTTATGAGCAAGTAGAGAAGTAAAAATAAAAAATGTTTCAACAGAAAGTTCTGGCCATGACCCAGGTGGAAAGAAAAGAGGAAAGTACTCTTCTTTCTTTAGTGCCACAGTACTGTAGATGCTGTCTACAGTACTGTGGCACTAAAGAAAGAAAACTGTACAAAAACTGTAGTTCATCTGGAAGTGATGAGAGCACATGGGTACATGTTGTTTTTTTCTTTTGTTTTTTATAAATGGTGAAGAAAAAAGATGGAACTGTGACTGCAGTGAACAAAAAGCAGCTCAATACAGTGTAAGACAATGTCTGACATGTTGTAAGGGTAAGTATTTAAAAGAAGTGTAGCAGTGTTACCTTTCAGGTTACTCTACATTAAAGATTACTTTTGTTTTTATGTTTATTTTTGGAGAGGAACCATATTCCATCAGTTTCAGTGTCATTAAAACGTTTAGATTTACAGTTTGAAATAATCTTTATTGTCCTTTACTGGCCAGTAATTCCCACAGAACTCGACTGTGGTTGTGGTGATATTGAGGCATAATGTGTAGGTACATAGACACCCTGTATGTGTGTATGTTTGGAGAAAGAGGCACTTACATGGTTTCCTAACTTATTTAATAAATAATACCATATACAGACAAAAGCTAACTTTCCTCTGATTGGCTGTTCCTTACTGTTTCCAGAGTTGAGATGTCCACATCTTCTCTAACTCTCACAGCCTTTGGTATTTCTCAAGCTGCTGGTAGAGCTATATCGTCACAATGGGCGTCTTCCTCTGCTTATCCACAACTACTATGTCATATTGGTCACCTACCACCAGCTTGTCCGTCTATACCTGGAAGTCTCACAGGATTTTAGCTTGGGTCAGTCTCAACCAACCTAGGGTGTGTATCCCATTTTGACCGTGGGACATCTAGACCATACTCGGCATAGATGTTCCTTTATGCTATGCCAGCCGTTTGGTAATGGTGTTCCAGTATGCCCTGTCTGTGCTGAAGTGTCTAAGGTGCATCTTTGCACAGGCTGCACCTGGGGTCTTGCCTGGTGTG